CATCCGTATGTTTCTGTAGCCTGTAGGGAAGATGTGACCTATTAAACTTTTGACTTTTATTTCCTTGCTGGTGCTTAGCCATAGATTTCTAATGCTGTTTAATCTTTGCATTACTATGGCCATCTTGCTGTTAACTTTAGTTAAACAATCTTCGTTGCTGTTTTTTATAGAGCTCAACTATTCAGAGTTTTTTATATTAATTTCTTATCATTTATTGTTATTTTGGGGTGACAGGCATCTATTTTTTTGGCCAACACTATGCTATCAGTGCCAAACATGGACACTTACATCCTCTAATGAGCGTAAAATTGTGACAACAGAAGATTAAATGCCTTAGAAGAGATGCAGGAGTTTTAAGGGAAGACAGAATACAAAATCAGCTGAATGCTAGAAATAAAGCCAGTCTTACAGGTCATCAAAGAACAACAAATAAAGTGGTTTGGACACCTGACAAGAATGCTCTGGTACTATCTGCCACAGCGAGCCAGACTAACAAGTTACAACGGGTATAGAGCGAGTGCAAGACCTCGGGGAAAATATGGAGCGATGGCATTAAGAACAACCTGACAGAAATGAACATCAGTCCTAATAATGCTCTAGACCGCTCATCAACGAACGTTAATCTCCCCTGACACTTCAGTGAAGTACAAAGTGGAAGAGAAGAAGGCATCTAGATATATAGAGATCTAAAAATGGTACACTCTGTACAGTAGTACACATCTCTAGACATCCTATATGTATCACTTTTGTACTGTACAGAGACATCTAAAATAGTTACATCAATGTAAAACATCCAGATATATAGATATCTAAAAATGGTACAACGGCAGTCCTGTAAAGTACAATGGTTGACAACCAGTGTAAAACCTTTGGACATCTTTAAAAAAAAAATTTTACACCAATAAAAAAAACCTTTCATTCATTCATCCAGTGTCTTGTTGGCACATTCTATTCTTTCCTTTGCAATTACTTTGATATCATGGATAGAATCCAGTCCAGCAACTTTGACCTCCCATATCAACATTCACCTTAGTGTTTCTTTTGCTGGATTTCGTTTCCTCAATCCCTTTATTTCCTGTGTCAGTACCTGTTCTTAAACTTACATCTAACATCTGGGGATGGACATTTAAAAATGGTTCACCGGCAATCCTGCACACTGCAATGGTTCATGTTTGTACGGTGGTTATTTTGTACCTGTTCACTGTACAGTGTGTTCCATAGGTTTCCGAACCTAGGAAAAATAAACATACCTCCAACGCCATTGGGAGTCGCCGTGGTGTTGGCGGCTAGACGCCCGCCTGTGGATTAGAAGGTCATAAGTTCACGTCCTGATGAAACAGGACTTTTTTTTTTAAAAACGACTTTAACTCCTAGGTCAACACAGCCTTGAGTGGGCACCGGGAAGTAAAGGTGACCGGTGTGATGCTGACCACATCACCCACCAATTTGCTGATTGGTCTAAAAAAAATACAGGTCGAGCCCCATATTCCTAAAGGTGTGGAAAAGGGACCTTTACTTTACTTTACCAATGCAATTACAAGTATAACTCCAGCTGTGCTTGCATCTGTTCTTCAGCAGTGGAGAACATGCACTGACAGGTGACTGCAAAACTATGGTATTTTGCCTTTTTAGGATGAAATTTTTCGTTATTTGAAGCCCTACTCTGGCTTTTGCCAGGGGCCGCAATATAGCCTGGCCATAAATATGGCCTACAGGCTGAACACGGTTTCTGGGACCTCTCCACAGTGAACCTCACCCACATGGTGGCACATTGTGTCATCGGGTGTTTATCGCCTGTGTGATGTCCTGGGTAGAAAGTCAGTCAGTTGTCACTTATGGGGCACCCACCCAGGCTGCAGGTAGACAGGTACAGCTAAAAATGAACCAAGTATGTTTCTAATCCTATACAACTATTTAGTGTTAAACGTGAAGAAACGACTGTTGTGACAAGGAAAACAAATGTGTGAACTGCAGGTTTTGAGGGAAATAACAGTATGATATTTCAACTAATTTTCCCACTTCATTCGCCCTTAAAAAGGTGGTAGGCACATTGTATTGAGGTTTACAGCTAGGCTGACACATCTGTGCTTTTCGGTCCAATACATCTGATTTCCTGGAGGCCTGACCTGACACTCGGCAACTCAAGCAATCATTTTCCAACAGGAACAAATCCGAGACACCTAATTTAACAGACATTTCCGTTACTGCTGTAACATTTTGCTCCGGTGATCACACAACCTTTCATTTCTGGGAAAAACACTTTGAAGTTGTAACTCTTTTTTGTAACTCTGGGTTAGTCATAATGCTGCTGGCACGGCATCCTGAAGTCCCAAAGGCTAAATGAGGACCCAAGCTGAACCGCAAAGCCTTTTTTTAAAAAATGTATATTTTTAGTTTGCTAGTCCGATTCTCCTTATATATCCATGGCTGTGACCGATAGAGCTTCAAAGTCTCTTCTTTATGTTCACTGGCTGCAAACTGCAGTAAAAAATCCTGCTTGTTCCATTTCTGGACTTTGGTCTTGTTTCAGAACTTGAGGCAGAAGTTCTGTGACTTTAAAGGAAGCTACACAAAGAAACTTGTACTGTATGGGCAGGGGATCTCTATATACACAAAAGTAACTTCTTTCTTTGTTCATCAGATATGCTTTGTTCTGGACATAACTATATCATGCCTGTCTACAGCAAGGCTGCAATTATTGTGTCTTTGGGCCAAAATATTTAACTTCATCAGGTGTTTTTTGTGTGTGACTATATTAGCCTTCCCATGTACAACTGTATTTCTGAACTGTCAGTACATACAGCCTAGGAGCTGCAATATTTATGTCTTCCGGAAAATATATTCAATTTTGTTAGGCATTTGTTGACGAGAATAACCGTTTCAGGTACAACTTTATTTCTCGACCTGTCTGTACATATAAATTAGGAGCTGCGGTAGAAGAGTGACTAGATGCTTGCTTGTTAGCCCTAAGGTCTTGGGTTCGACTCCACATCAAGTCTGATTATTTTCAAAATTGACTTTGACTTGCAGGTTGACTCAGCCTTAAACACACATTACATAATGTCAGTGGATATACAGGTGACAGGTGTGCTGATGTCCACATGACCCATTTTGTGCCGAGTGGTCTAACAAATATTTTTTTGGTATCAACTGCCTGATGCCCCACTGGTGTCAAAAGGTTCTTTTATTAATTATATACTTATATATACATATATATATTTATAAAAAGAGGGAGTTGCTGTGGTGTAGCGGCTAGACGCTTAACTGTGGATCAGAATGTTGTGGGTTGGCTCCCTGGCAGAGCCTTGATTCCATTGTAAATACCGTAAATCTGGGAGAAATGTGGCCTACCCCCGGGAGTGAACTCGGACCACAAAGAGTTCGTCACCCGGTCACCGCGCAATCCGGTTTAGCCAACTACGCTAGAGAGCCGGGCGCCGTTGGTTTATTAAATACAGGTCTAGCCCTATAAACCCAATACGCCAGAAACTTGTGGAAAATTGTCTTTTACTTACTATATACATAAAGAGATTATTTCTGGCGGTGCACAACACCCTCAGATGTTTTTTATTCAGCTCTACTGTAATAGACACTGTTGAGTACCATCACCTTTCATTCCACTCCATGTAGTAAGTACCGGCACCCCTTTTTTGGGGGGAAGAAAAAAGCCCTCTTGTATGAACACTCACACACAAACAGCCTGCAAAAAGTATCTTCTGCTACACATAAAATCATTTAGACACAATTTTAGTGTGTGATGACCCGAAACATAAATTGCACAAATATTTATATCCCAATAAATAACACAGACTATATAAAAACATGTTGACTCAGCCTTAGTCCTGCTAGGCAGGGAAGAGACAGGTATCATGCAAGCTTCGTTTGTGATTGATTCCTCACCGGTTTATGTTAATGTCCTTAAAACTCACCGCCGTATACACATATTCTATTCATGAGTAAATTAAAAAATGGAATCACAGTTGTTAACACAGCCAATCTGTTCACTAGTGACTTCACAAGACCACCTGGGTAGATGTTTTTGATGTGTGTTTAAAGGAGAAACATGTCAATTTGGTGATAATAAATTACAGAATTACTGTATGTAATCTTGCTTCCTGAAATGAAGCATCATTGCCAGTATGTAACAACACATTTTATAAATTATAAACATCTGGACTAGATTCTTTATGTGACTGAGGATGGATGGAGTTTAGGTAATAACTATATAACAGGCCCTGACCACTGGGATGAAATTTACATTTCTATCACTGCCACATCATCTTGCTCCACTGATCACATAACCTGTCTTTTCTTGCAAAATCAGTTTACACACAGTTTAGGAGTTCTCAAGCCAGAAATAATCTGTTGTTGATCCATCTTTTGATGTTATCTTCACTTTAGCATTGCCATCTATCCCTTCCTTATCTGCATTCGGCTTTTCCTTCATTTTATTTTTAATTTAATAATCTGCTTCCTCCTTGTCACACCTTCATGCATTAAGTTGTAACCCCATACATCTCTCCACAGAACAAGTAACCGCCTGCTAAGAGAGTTGAAAAAGCATGAAATATGTAGCTTTGGCAATGATCCACAGGGATCTTTGTAAAAAAACGGCGCTTATGAACCCACGACTTAGAGCGCAGGGGTAAACGGCTTCACCACTTCACCCCAGATACCCTGTTGTAAACAGATCACTTGTCCATTTGTGTCATATGCTGACGAGGACTTTCTGTGTTCATTTTGTTGTTCCTGGTTGTATTAGGCAGCTAACTAATTCTACTTCTGTGTGAACTGATATTATTCTGTGATACAGTATTCCTTTACCGGCTGTTTTACCATAACAAATCCTTGCAATTGGTTCCGAAAATAAATGACAGATAACTCCATGATATACTACAGTGCTGTTTTACTGGCATCCGCTTGTATTCAGAAACACTAACATGTTTGGCATTTGCTAGCCACACCATAGATTTTGTTTTGTGTCTTTAGTTTTGTAGGGTTCACACTTGCCAAAGTAGAAGGTGGTTGGTGCTATCATCTCGTCCAGCACCCTCATTCGCCGCGTTGCTGCGGAAATCTTCATACCCGTCCCCGCCACTAATCACCAACATGCGGCTAGCCATTGTTGCAGTTGTAGCCGCCATGGATGACCTGCGATGAATGTCATGAACAGAGTAGCCGCCGGCCCGTTCTCCTGCAGTTTCTCGGGGAGCATCCACTTTTGTCCCTGCTGTGCCACTAATTTCCACACTTGTGAGGAACCGGACATGACCTGTATGTCCGTAAGGCAGACCTGGCGAGAAAAATTGAGGGATGCAGGGTATTTAAAAAATGCAGACACAAATAATCTGTACAATTTATTGCCCAGTACATTTTGCTGTAGCTCATCAGAATTACATCTACACATGAAGAAGCAAACAAAAATGAACCCTCTCCATTGAAATAAACAAATCACAATGTCTCTAGCTAAATCTCACCACTGGAATGAATGAATGAACAAATGAATCAAGATTTGGCATCCTTAAACTCAGGACATTCCCATACATGCTCCATCTCCTTCCTAACTAGCCAATGAAAAGTCGATTTGTTAACTGTACCAATTGCATCCTGATTGAAAGTCGGCCTCTGTTTTCTCCTCACTGTTGAATATCTTCCAGGACCTCTACTAACCCCTGCTGTATTAGTATTTCAAGATGTGGATAGAATTAGTATTTCAAGATGTGGATAGAATTAGTATTTCAAGATGTGGATAGAATTAGTATTTCAAGATGTGGATAGAATTAGTATTTCAAGATGCGGATAGAATAAGTATTTCAAGATGCGGATAGAATTAGTAATTCAAGATATGGATAGAATTAGTATTTCAAGATGTGGATAGAATTAGTATTTCAAGATGTGGATAGAATTAGTATTTCAAGATGTGGATATAATTAGTATTTCAAGATGTGGATATAATTAATATTTCAAGATATGGATAGAATTAGTATTTCAAGATGTGGATAGAATTAGTATTTCGAGATGTGGATATAATTAATATTTCAAGATATGGATAGAATTAGTATTTCAAGATGTGGATAGAATTAGTATTTCAAGATGTGGATAGAATTATTATTTCAAGATGTGGATAGAATTAGTATTTCAAGATATGGATAGAATTAGTATTTCAAGATATGGATAGAATTAGTATTTCAAGATGTGGATAGAATTAGTATTTCAAGGTATGGATAGAATTAGTATTTCAAGGTATGGATAGAATTAGTATTTCAAGATGTGGATAGAATTAGTATTTCAAGATATGGATAGAATTAGTATTTCAAGATATGGATAGAATTAGTATTTCAATTTACGGAAAGTCTGTCTATTCTACTGCACTGTCCACTGATCAGCTCTTGTACCACTGTCTCTGTTTCACCAGTTACCCCTTTCTGACAACCTCAGTCTAAGGTAACTATCACTCAATGCAGGGTTGTTGCTGGGCCATACTGTGACCCATTCCTCCCCATGTATTATCTTGTCAGTAGCACCAATATTTCTCATCGTGACTTTTGCCTGTGCCATCCACGAGCCACCTTTTGCTAAACCAATATCTTACTATCCCCTAAGGCCTCATGCAGAAGGTGTTCACTCTCCATTGTAACTGAAAGTTACATTTTTGCAAGTAACACATTGTACCTTTCTATACCAACAGCAATGCCAGTATGTGCCACATGCACAGGATTCACAACTCTCGGGTACAGCCCAAAATAACTCCACGTCTTCATTTTGCATGTGTTCTGGCTCTTTTTTTGTGGCTGTTAAATACTTATCAAATAACAGTACCAAAATCATACTCCATCACCAAAATAATTAGTTGCCGGTAGAGTGTGTACCTGTAGTGTGTGTACCGGTAGAGTGTGTACCAGTAGAGTGTGTACCGGTAGTGTGTGTACCAGTAGAGTGTGTACTGGTAGAGTGTGTACAGCATTTTGTGTTCTATGCCTGCTGATGCCATCACCTTCAAAGCACTGAATCCTTTCCTTATCTTATCTTGAATACTACTGGAATTTCAAGGTACAAGGATAAAAGGTAATCGGTTCTTTCCTAATATCCTACCTCAGATGATGTCACAGGACAGTCCAACATTTTTGAGGGTGGTAAGACTGGGTTTCCCAGCTTTCTGATGCTTTTAACGACCCCAAAACAACTAGAACTGGCCCTAACCACAACTCGCCTACGTCGCTTGAGAGAGTGTAGCCTAGGTCCCACGACTGCATGTAGCCTATCTATCACCCCCTGAAATATTAGAACCTGTGGTGAATTTGTCCTGTTTGGGGTATGATATTAAGAAAGCACAAGGTAATCATTTGAGACTGTTGGCCCTAGAAAAAATGTGAACAGACTGGGAACAACACTATGCACCAAATTCATTGAGAAACAGAAGATCAAATGGTATGGTTATCTGATTAGAATGCAGTCACAACTACTGCCAACACAAATGCTGCTTGAAAAGATCTGATGTGAAAGCAAGAGGCTACCTAAGGAGAATATGGACTGATCACATTAAAGAGTTTTTACATCAACACAGAATGACAATAGCCATTGCTATCCATCAAACAGTGGATTGCAAACAGTTCCTCCCCATGATGCTTCATGGCAAAAGTGGAAACTGATGATGACAGTTTTACATCAACTCACCTGTGACGGCTGGAGTGGCCAAGCACCCACGCGTGGATGTGGAGGTAATGCGAGGTATGGGAATGGTAAGAATGACCCCTGCACTGGTTCCCACCCACAGTAGATCCTTGCACACCAGGAGTGCGGTGATGCGCAGACAAGCCGCCTTGTGTTGTCGAATAATATCGTCTGCAGCTGTGTCCAAAATGGAAGAATTTTCATGCATTACTTGGCTTTTTCTATATTCTTTTTACAACTCATCTCTGTGACATACCATAGGATAATCACTATTTAATCTACTTCTTCTTAGCGTTGACATGCTGTAAATGTCCCCCTTTGTGGGGGGGGGAAAGGGACCCGCTGCCCCTAAACAAGCATTTAGTTAAAGTCAACTATCAAGGTGGTTCCTCTGAAGTCAAAGTGCATCTGTCTGAGAAGTGAGGCAGTCTGCATACAAATAAACCAGATCTGGGCAGGCAAAACTCAAATTCTAAAACAGGTCCAGAAGTATACGAATAACAAGAACTTTCTGTCAGAGTTTACAACCGGTGAAGAACCTGAAGAAGAAGTAATACTAACCCACATTAGAAAGCAAGATTTACAGTAAGACTTGAGTCATGGTGGGTTATTAAAACTGCTGAATATAGGACTTTATTTATTAAATAAAGCATTTCTCGTTTAGAGATACATATAAATGTGAGTTGATGGCACTGAAAGAGTTAAGGCTGCACTGACTTCAGAAGCAAACTAGTTTAAAAGAATCTTCACTTGTGAAGTAAGTTAGGACAACAATTCTGTCTTTGCCTCATGGCATATTTGGGTTATCATAAAAAGTAGTCATGGACCTTTTCACATGGTACTACGCATATGGTGCTAGACAATATGGTTTTATGTAACAGTCAGTATTTGATGGGGATGTCATCATCATCATTGTCCTGTTGTGCCATTAATGGCACAAAGGGCTCACAATCTATTCCTCTATTTCATTCTGTCCTGTGCAATTTCTTTGACACCATGGATGGGGTCCTTTAGCCTCTCTCATTAACATTAATTTTAGGGTTTATTATGAAGGACGTCCTGGCTTTGTTAATTCCTTTTTTTCCCATTTTAGTGCTTGTTTGGTGATTCTCTGCTCATTTATACTCAGCATGTGTCCAATATAATAACTACTCTTTTATCTGTCCAGGAATTCTCATCATTCGTCTATAAAACCTTATCTCTGCAGCTTGTATAGAATTTTTCACCAACTGGCTGTTTATGATTCACTTCTATATGTCTGGATATGATTTATATAGCTTTTGAGAATTTCTTTTCTCAACGTAATTGACAAAGAAAGCTTGAATAGAATATTCTTTATTTTGTGAAATGCTGCCTGTGCTTGGGCTATTCTACATTTAACTTAATACGTCTTACATCTGCTGTTATAAGGGCACCCAAGTATTGAAATGTATGTTAGACAGGTAGGTCAAACAGTTATTTTCTTCTGACCACAGTCAGCTGTTGTTTTGTTGTCACAAAGTGTCAGAGCCCAGGAAATGTAATGATTCATTCTCTCATCAGCAGGAGAAAATAAAGTCACAGATTATTGATCATAAATTATATGCCAAAGGCAGAGCATTCCAAGCTCATAGGGAATCCCAGGAAATGCATGAATTTGGGAGGTTTACGTTTGGAGTGTGAACTGAACAAAACACGAGCTGGATGAGCTGGGACTCAAAGTTCACGTGAGTTAGGAGAGACTATGAGAGGTTCAGAGAATGACAGAAGTCATTCCTGTGTATGGTGCTTGGAGAAAGGACATGTGAAGGCCTGTGTGTGAGCATCCGTACAAGCAGCCAATAGAGGTGCAGAATTTTGGCTATGACAAGTGGTCTAGAATATAGATACTTGAGGTGTCTGCTATTCGATCCTGTGTTAAAGTGTAAGCATTTTATTTAAGTGTACTGAGCCGTGCCTTTGGAAAAGTTCGACTGTAAGAGAGTTCTTGAACAGGGTAAATATAGATGCCTTGTATGACATCACTGAAGCTTGATTATTACTTCGACTGTAGACATTTCGACCTTTAGTGATCATTTCCTGAGAAAAATTTTGTAACACAATAAACATCCCTGTGTGGGTTTTGGGGCCCTATTATAGGGAAAACAAGAATAGACCCACTGCCTACCCAAAAGCATGTCGTAAGAGTCGACTAATTGGGAGCTTCTTTCGAAGTCAGAGTGCATCTGCCTAAGAGGCGAGGAACCAACAAAAAGCATACAATTAAGTCAGATCTGTCAAATGTATTCACATGCAACACTCAGGTTCTGAATCAGGGCTGCAGTCCAGAAGTGGAAAAACAACCAGCACTTTTCACCAGCGTTTACTGCCGGTGAACTCGAAGAAAAATGAACAAAATAAATAGTTTCATTGGCTATCTGGAGTTACCAAGGTTTTCCTTTTTGGAGCTGGTTGCAATAGTCGGTGTAGCTTTGCATGTAATGGCTATAACTGGAGTTACAAGGTTTTCATTGTGCTTTTTGGAGCTGGTTGTAGTAGTCGGTGTAGCTAGAGAAGATTGCATGTAATGATCCACCAAAACAAGTACACTGCAGTAACTGAGTTGAGTGCATTGTGCAACACATGCAGTAACTGAGTTGAGTGCATTGTGCAACACTGTGAAATAACTGAGTTTAATTCAGAAACACATGCAGTTGAGTTGATTGTGCAACCATGCAGTAACTGAGTTGAGTGCAGGTGGTAACTGAGTGTGTTGTGAGTGCTACAGACTCAGAATGGTGAGTGGCTTGTAACCACAGAACTGGTTGTGTCTTATGTAATCCTATGTGTGCAACTGTTAATCTACTGTGACTTATGCTTCCACTGAAGATGAACTGCAATTCTAGTAGTGGAATGTTAGTGCTGGTACTTCTGACAGCTACCTTATGCATGTGTATGCTGTTGGTTTTGCAAGGACTGCAGCGTGTTTCAATTCTTTTTCCAAGGGACAGTGATGGGTATTCTGTGTGTGATTTTCACTGACAAAGGATTGGAGCAATCACGGGGTACACTGTATGTGGTGAACTGAAACTGTAGTTAACAAACTTTATTTGAAAAACATAGACGGTAACTCACACTGCAGCTTTTGTGACACAGCCTGAGCTATGGAGACCTCCAGCAGAAACTCGTAGGTGACAGCATGGAAGAGCATCACCTTGGAGCTCTGCTGCGAGGCCACCCACACTCCTTGACCTGAGCAAACTAGGCACTGAACGGCACGGTTAGTGTCTGGAGTCACTTGAAATGAGGTCTAGAAAACAAAACAGTCTACTATAGTAAACATTTTGATATAATTTAAATAAAAGACAACATTCATCATCATCCTGTTGCACCGTTATATTCTGGATCAGCCTCATAGTCTAATGCTCCATTCCCTTCTAGCATTTGAAATTCTTTTACTATCATGGACAGAATTGTCTGTAGCTTTGGCCTCTCTCAACAATGTTCATCTCGGGGTTCCTCTTGGCCGCCCTTGTTTCACTTTACTGTTCATTTCTCATCATGTGTGCAGTATACTGGCATCTTTGTCTGATACAAGAGACAGTCCAAACAGTTCTCTTATTTTTTTTGCCAATGAGTGCCATAATTTATTTCTTTGTGTTTCCCTGGCAATTAAAATTGCTACCTAAATAGGTAAACCTAAATATTACTGTAATTCTGAATCAAAATAAGATGGCTGCAACAAATCAGTCGTGTGGTCAATGTCATGCAAGATGCATACCACCAAAGATGTCCACAATAATAAAGCAACCCTAACAACTGAAATCTAGCAGTCACTCTCTATTCCATTTTCAGACTCCCTATTGAAACTCTATTCCCATATACCGCTTTATATGATAATTACAAACTTATTCTTCTCTATCTTCTTTGTGTTCACCAGGTGTAAACTCTAGTTGAAAGTTCTGGCTGATTGTCCACTTCTTTGGTCTTATTCCAGAACTTGTTGGTTCCTCATCTCACAGGTATATGCATTCTGACTTCGTAGGAAACAGCCCTAATTAGCCACCTTTTACGATATGTTTGTAAGGGGGTATTGGGTCTAATCTTTTCCCCTCCAAAATTGCTCCCCCCACCCAACTCAAAGGGGATTCTTCCATACAAAGTATGTCAAGGGACCATACCTAAAGACATCTGAAGCATATTGTACCAGCTCAATAATTATACAGACTTACTGTAAATACATTGCTCAATTTAGTGCCTGACATATTTTGTGGTACTTCAACATGGTATTAGTAAAGAGTTAACAGTTACAGTTAAAGTCGAGAGCATTGACTTCATCTAACTGGGTTTGGTCCCATATGGCCAGGTCTCTCTCTGAAGAACAGCTAGCCACCTGTCGAGAGCACTGCACAAAAACCCTAATTCTGGTGCTAATCCCCAAGGGTCTCCATAGAAATTTAATTCATGAAATGAACGATGCAGACATGAAACGACCCCATGACCTTCAACGTGTGACCATTATGCAGAAATTAGTAAAGAATTTATATCAACACAGAATAAAGCAGGAAATATGAATCCTTTTAACTAAAGTACACAAATCACACAGTCTTTTGTTACACTGTACATCTTACCAACAAAAGTCTAAGACTCACCACATGACAACCACGGAAGTCTAAGATTAATTATGTGATCCTTTTGTTTACATAATGTGGTACTGGATGTCTTAAAAATATTACCCAAAATAAATTAAATTGAAAATCTGAAGCAGCAAACAAGACCAACCTCTATGTTGAAAGCAAGTGGATTAACGACGTAAATCTGGTTCTGGCAGCCACACCAAAGTTTCCCAGCTACGGCCAGCATTTTTGTGATGGGAGACGTGGGCGACCCAATTGTACGAGTGTATGGGCATTCTGTATCCCACAACCCCTCTGTGGAAAAAAAAAATAAAAAAAAGAGTTGATAATATACTGTGCAATAGTCAGTGTCCTTTTGGGAATATAAGAAGGAACAGACTCTTGGTCTTAGTTAAAAACTGGCAAGGTTGGTAGAAAGAAAGCAAGGGGAAGCCAAGAGATAAATACCTGATGAAAGTCAGAGCAGATCTGCCTGAGAGGTAAGGAACCAACAGTCTGCATACAAATAAGCCAGATGTGTGAAACTGATGTTAGCAACACTTAGGTTCTGGAACAAGATTAAACTCCAAAGGTGGATGAACATCCAGAGCTTTCCACTGGAGTTAAAAGCTGGTGAACATGAAGAAGAAGGATAGGAGAAAAAGGATAGGAACCATGTTGGGGAAATCCTGATAACAATATAACTATAATGTCTTTGCACTGGAGCCCACAGAGACACAGAAATAAAGGCAGATAAAAAAATACACGGAGAAGGAAACTAGACAGTGAAGTTAATAAGATGGGGAGGGCATGGAGTACACTGCATGCAATATCAAAGGTAGAACCACTTGGCATGAGTTGACAGAGGGCCTATGCTCCACTGGGGGATTAAAAAAAAGGGGGAGGGGGCTGCATGGTCTCAAGGCATGGTGTCCACCTTGAGTGCTAGAGGTTCCGGGTTCAATCCTTGGTCAGGGCTGGGATTTTTTCATGTGGACTTGGACTTCTAGTATTTCCCCCTGGTCTCTGGGTAGTGAGATCGGACGCCCGTGTGCATTGTTGCGCACGTAAAAAAAATCCCCTTGGCAGTAGGAAATAAAAAAGAGTAGCCTAACGGCACTGCCTGGGCAAACTTTGAGTTGAAAACCTACCCAAAGTATTTCAGGATCCTTGCCGGTGCTACAGAGCTTGTGCACTGTGCCGAGCTTCTTCGGACTCAGCCTTGAGTTAGAAGAAGAACGCAGCACTTATGGGTTACTGCCCTTGTGCCATGATGTTGATCAGTTGTTCAAACCTTAAACCTTTTTAAACTTGGGGGATAAAGGGCAGAGCAGGACAAATGTCTGATTAATCAACAGAGAATGAGCATGACTAGTTGTTTCCTCGTGTGAAGCTACTGAGGAGACTGAGACAGGTATGGATCTGTCCAGAGTGTTGTGATGACAGTTGTCACTAATCACTTATCCTTGTTCACCTTGTCTAAAACAAACTCTTATTGCTCACCCTGGTCTCGCTTGTAGACGATGAGGTCACCATTCAGCAGGGACACAAAAACTTTGTTGTCAAGGTATCTGTCAATAAAATAACACAACCTATTATTCATAAATTTGTAATATAACTGAAGTACAACTGTTTTCACCATTTGTTTTCATCACTTTTTAGGGTTGCAAAAGGAGAAGGGAAAGGGTGAGCCTGATGATTTATGGCCTTATGGTTACAGAAGTTGCCAGGAACTGTGCAGCTCAGGATATTTATTTCTGTCCCTAACTGACCCCCGCCCCAGATTCACCCACACTAGACTAGAGGTTGCTTCATAGCTGTTTTATGGTGCCCCAATATAACTGTACTTTATGGCTACATAGTTGGGCAGGATTTTCCAGGATTTGTACTTGCTTGATTCTCATCCTTGAGATGTAATCCTACAGACTGCAATCCTGCAGGAGAAAAACTTATATAAGCCCATCACCTTATCATGAATTTAAACCCCGGTCTCCTGCATGCAAGCCCACACTGCAACCCTTCGACCAGTCGCTCCTCTATTTCAAGTATAACATTGACATAATTAACAAATTAGTAAGTCTCATTTTCACACACACTGGGTACATGGTGCTAGCCCCAGTTTTTTTTCTTCTGGTGGTATTTAGTGGTACACAGTACTGGCACCGTTTTTTAAAACACCACTTTTTCAGTGCTATTGTGATAGACACCTTGTGGTTACTGCCAGCACTTTTTCAGACACTTTGAGTACTGACCTCCTAGAAAGAAAAAAACGATGTCTAGGCCTATTTTTCACTTTTTTATACAACAAATGATACTTGATCGAAGATAAGGTCACACTATTTTTTCTGGGGGAAAAAGTGCGGACACTAACCAGGAAGGGTCAATTATAGTAGCGCTGGTACTTCAAACATATCCTTTTGTTGCAGCACACTGGTATTGGGCAAGCTCAATGTCTTAAAGCCACATGTTTGAAGTGTGGGATTTGAAATGAGTTACAGTGGCCATAAACTTAAATTTAAAAATCTTGAAAACAATTAGGCCCACCAGAAAGAAACAAATCCTGGCATGGTCAGTATCACACAAGCTGCTCTTACTTCCCAGAACAATTTCTGGTACCCATTTTAGGCAAGATCAATGGAGCAGCCAAGTTCATTTAACAAAATATGTCTCCATAAAGATTTACATCTCTGATAACCACACAGATGGGCAAACATGATAGCCATAGCCACTGGGACCCAATTAAGAAGAATGAACAAAACTTTATTTTTAAAGGGTCACAAATTGGGCATGTCCTGTCTAATAGTCCAACACCCCGTCTTGGGGCAGGTTTTATTTGATTATGCCTGTTATATATAATATTGTGAAAATCAAAAAAATATTTGGGTAATATCTATATCAGAATGCTGAGATATAAAGATTCACTGAGCAAACAAGAGCCTGAACTTGAGGATTAATTGCTGAGGCAGATATTTGATCCTGATATATATAATATAAAAATATTTGAAATCATCTCAGTGGTTGAGGTCCTCTCTTTCTCGATTCAGGTGAATGGTTGGTCCAAGTGTAGGTGCAGGGTATGTATATTTTTCTCTCAGCCCCATTCTCGGTCTGTTCCACTGTCTACTCTCATTTAACTTTTTTGTGTACACAGTTTTTAGGACATTGTATCCAAAACAAAAATAAGACGAAGAAGAAGTTGAAATATTTTTTAGCTGATTTACTTACATGATACAGTGAACAGGGGAGCCATGCTGAATTTTGAGTTTATTTTTTGTGGTCTTTATGTTGTCACAGGCTTGGAAGATGTGAATGCTGAAACAAACAAGTGATAGCTCACTCATACTATAGTCAGACACAGTCGTTAGTCAAGTTTTCAAGACCTCCCAGATGGGTCAGCTCAGCTCATAACTACTCTGTTCTTGTGCCAGCGGTAATCACTCAGAATTTTCTCCACTGTCCCATTTGAAAATTAGTGACAAACTTGTCAGTCCAAGCAAATTCTTGAAGCTCACACATGCAAGAGAAAAATGCATAGGGCAAATTTGGAGATGTGCCAACAGTTCCCCATGTGGGTTCTGGGGCCATATTGTGGGCAAACAAAAATAGACTCACTGCCTCCCCAAAAAAAGCATGTCGTAAGAGTCGACTAAATGGGAGCTTCCTTTAAAGTCGATGTACATCTGCTTGCGAAGCAAGGAACCAAAAGCTGTGCACAAAAATAAACTAGATGTGTGAAACAGATGTGCATGCAACACTCATGTTCTGGAACAAGACTAAAGTCCAGAGGTGGACGAAACACAAAGAACTTTCTGCCAGAGTTTAGAGCCGATAAGTGCAAAAGAAGAAGAAGAAGATGTGCCAACACTAATAATGGTGTGGATTTGAACCCAAGAACTTTCGATCGGCAGACAAACATAAAGCTACTACAATACTGTGGATCCAACTGTCAGAAATGGACAAATGAATTCACCATTAATACATGGGATACCAAAATGAGAATAATGAAATCTATGAATACTCCAACTCCTAGTCAGCTACATATCGGGTTGAATGGAACTTGTTTGAAGCAGGTTAAAGAATTTAAATATCTGGGAAGTGTATTCTCGGAAGGATGGGATCGGTAAATAGAAACAAGATGCAAATGAGCTAGTGCCCTCATGTACCAAGTAACACCATTATTAAGACATCCAAACATAAGTATGAGCACCAAGAAACAGATTATAAACAGCATATTTATTCCAACACTGTGCTACCAGTGTCAGACTTGGACATTATCAAAGGCTAACCGACGTAAAATTAACCCCTGTGAAATGAGATGCCTGAGAAAAGCTGCGCACTCAACCATCCGAGACAAAGTTAGAAATGACATTATCAGACAAACCATAGGAACAACACCGTGCAGCAAAATGACTGAGAAACAGAAGATCAAATGGTTTGGCCAATTCGCAAGAATGCAGCCAGAGCAACTACCAACACAGGTGCTACCCATGAAAAGATCTGAAGAGAAAGCTATAAACAATTTAAGTAACAGTATTACAACAAAATATTATTAAAATCACACAACAGTCAGGGATTTTAGACATCTATGAAGATTATTTACACACAAAAATTGTGTGCTTACCTTAATTTTTACTCATTCAACAATATTGCATTTTTATATGACATACCAGATTTCACAACAACCAAAATGGGAAAAACAGCTGACCGAAACAGAGATGATCCAACTGAAAAATTTGGTTCAATCTTCTTCTTCTTCTTCTTTCGTTCACCTGAAATAAGTTGTCTATATCAGCAGTTTTGTCTCTTGTATAAATTTCACTGTTGTTAATTCATTCAGTGGTCCATAGAGTTTACGTTCCACTGTTGTTCTTTCTGGCCAAAAGGTTTGCCTTAATGTGTCAAATTCGGTGCAGTCCTGGAGTACATGCTCTGCTGTCTGGGGCACCTTTCCACAGTTGCACATGGCTGATACACCTATCTTGAATTTTGTGTACACATGGTTACGTAATCGGTTGTGCCCTGTTCTGAGGCGGAGGATAATGACCTGTTCTGGTCTGTCCATAATAAAATATGGTTCAATCTTTATCCTAACCTAATTTATCAGCAATAGGTTTGGCACATACATTATCAATCATAATATCAAGACTACTGTCACCATCTAACTGAGATTCATCAATGACAGAGTTGTATGAACAGTTCTAGACCTTTTTCCTTATCATTTGATTTGGAAAAATCACATCTAATTAATTTAAAACAAATTAGAAAGTGACTAAAACACCATGCCGAACTTCAAAAATGAAAGGACTTAGTTTCACTAATTCTATTTTTTCAAAACATGTTCATACAAATTCTTTTTACAAGCAAACAAAACAATAGTGGTGAACACTCTGAATGGGATGGATTCAAAAGCCACTAAAGTGGAGACCGGTCCATAAAGAGTTAAACAACAAGAAAGTAATATTATTGTCTTTGAAAACTGAAATATGGTGGCCATATCAACTGCCGGGGTGGATTGGAAACAATAGTAGCGGGGAAAGGGGGGGGCATGGTACCAACCAGCATGAAGATGGGCACAGAATATAAGGAAAACCTCAGGTAGGAAAGTGTAAGAGGCAGGAGAGCTTGTGAGAGATAAGAGTTTCTATCAGGCAGGCCGTGACGGAAGCTACATTTTGTAAAGGACCGGCTACATGATGATGCTATAAAAGGAATAAAGTAATATTACAGTTTAACATGTAACCACTGGAAAGCAACATTATAGTGCAACATATGACGAAAGAGCAGGGCTTTGACATACAGTAAACACATAGGGAGCTCAACCCCATTACAAATGTTCTAGGTAGGAGGTGGGTGTGGACTCAAGAGGTCGTTGTTGTTGTTGTTATCGATCCAGCCACGCATGAGCTTTTGCCCTTTGGCCCAATGCCATGTAGTGGAATTTGCATGTTTTCACAAGCTGTTCTTTTCCTCCGTACAAGGTGTTCCACTTGTCTAGTCTCGGAGGGAGTAGCATTTTTCTAGTCTCGCAGAGTTTTGAGCACTCAAAGAGATGGTGGTCAACAGTTTCGTAGGGGTGGTTACATAGCTGGCACTCTGGGGAGTGTTGTGGATGTATTCTGTTTAGATGTCCACTGAGTGGAGTATGTTATGTTCTAAGTCTAATGGTGGCCTGGTCCCTTCTTGTTAGATGGTTAATGCTATCATTAGGATTAGGGCCAGACCTATGTCTATAAACCTCTCTTCCAGTCTCCCATGGCCCATCTGTTCAACTAAGTCTCTTTGTTTATAGCTCTTATAAGTGTTTTTGCTGTCTGTAGGGTTGTCGCTGTAGGTGGTTGTTCTTGTGTTGCTCCTTTCTTTGCCAATCTGTCAGCTCTGTCATTACTTGGTGTGCCGGAGTGGCCTGGAATCCACTGCATCACTATTCTGATGTTGTATGAGGTAATAAGCTGATCAGCATCCAGGATTATCTTGGCTTGAAGGGCAGACATTGAATCTGTGAAGCTGACAATATTTTGGGCCTTTGAAGGGTAAACATCCATTACAGTCTTTAGGTGGTATACTGCTGTTTCCAGTGCAATTTTTTCGGCTTCATAATTTGAGCAGAATTCCCCGCATGCATCAAAAATCTCTTCAACAAACATAGGACATAGGATAACCTATGTAGATTCCTTAACCTGCTTTAATGGTAGCTTTAAATGCACATCCATCAGTATAAACATGTATCCATTCTTGGGGGTAAGAATCAAGGTCTTTAGTGATGACTCCAGAGGTCAAGCCTGGTTTAAGTGCTTAATAATAATGAGTTGAATGAATATAGGTGTAGACCTATATTTTACTGACCAATTGGCACTCTGTGGTTATGAGGTTGACATCTTGCTGGCTGCTTTTAATCCCAGTACTTTAGCTGGTACCCATTTCAGGCTGGGTTAACCTGGGAGCCAAGATCACTTTTGAAAAAAAACTTAAGCTCCATCATGAACTGAAACCACTACCTTTGAATCTGCCGGCAAGTGTCTATCTGCTACACCACAGCGGCTCCCATATATGACAATATAAAAAAAAAATGAATTCTCACCAGCCGTCTTCAGTGCCCAGCCACATGGTCGACTTGGAGGGGTCCTGGTCCCAGTTGCCAGAAGTGGTGATGGGATCTGGGCTACTTTCTGTCAGCGAGGAAACCTTTGGCTTGGAAAGTTCGTCGTCCGAAGCAAGCTCTAAGGAACAGAAAGATGTTAAGGGTAATTATCACTGCGGGCATCATGTTTGAAATTCTCTTCCTCATCCTCTTTAATTATATTTCCCTTTTTTTTTCTCTTATTTTGTCTGTAAATATACGAGGGGAGTCGCCATGGCGGAGTGGCTAGACGCTCGCCGCAGATCGGAAGGTCGTGGGTTTGCTCCCTAGGGGAGCCAGACTTTTTTCAAAAATGACTTTTGCTCCCAGGTTGACCAAGCCTTGACTGAGTACCGGGTGCGGTCCCGGGAAGTAAAGGCGGCCGGTGTGATGCTGACCACACCACCCATCTTGTGCCGATTGGTCTATAAAATATAGGTCTAGCCCTATATGCCCTTAGGCATGAAAAAAAGGGTTCTTTACTAAATATACGAGGCATGAATCACCAAAAGGGACCCTCATTCACCAATGAATTACTAAATATACGAGGCATGAATCACCAAAAGGGACCCTCATTCGCCAATGAATTACTACAGGTTCACCCCTTTTACTGATTGAAATGTGTATAACAGAATGCTGCTCCTCTTTGATGCATGTCAAAAGTTTTGCTTAGTGCAACGTCTAGATTAAGAATGGAGGTGGAGGCAGTCTCTGCTGCATTCCGCTGGTTTAGGAATCAGCTGTACACACATGCCATGATTGTAACTGACTCACAGAGCATGTTGAGAAAGGTGGAGACAGGTATGCACCCTGCAGAGTGCAAGCATTAATTCAGAGGTCCTGAGTAGTTAGCATCCTTTGGATATTTTCTCCACGGTATGCTGGTGTGTTGAGAAATGAGCAGGCAGATAAACTGGCTGGCTCTGCACCACTTGGTGGTGAACTGATGTATAACAAGCTAGAATTTCTATCACATTTTTACAGTTTTAACTTGAAGCCCCTTCATAACTGTCTACATCTACACCACAAATATTCACATCTGGTGACTGCATTCTTTCTAAAAAAAAATATGTTCATACATCCAACCTCCGTTAGATGTTTACCTTCATTCATCCTTACTATCATATTCAACCATTCTCCGATTCTTACCTTTAATCCTTCTTTAGACTATAGTAATCCACCGTGGTGGTGAGCC